AAATGGATGAAATAAAATTTGATCCTTCAACAATTACTGCAACAATTCATCCAAATGCAGTTTATACTAGCAGATTAATAAATTTTACAAATCTTCCACAACCTGTGAATTTCAATAAAGTAACAATTATTGGTAATAATAATGGTAATCATTAATATTCAATCATTGACTATTTTCATTTTTATTAAATTAACAATATTTATTAATATCCACTCTTGATAAATATTTTGTAGATTCTATACAAATTGATTTAGCTATTCCAGATTACTTGTCTGAATAAGTTAAATCTTGTCACTTTATTACATATTATATTATTTGTTATTTATTTTATTTATCTGGCTACTATGGTTGTGATATTAAATATCTTGAGAATGATATTACAGTCAAACCTCGATAAACTGAACTACTGTAAACCAATTTTCGTTTTATAATGATCCAAAATTGGTTAACCAAATCATGTTTAATAAAAATTATTTCATTAAGCCGAATTTTATTAATTATAACCCCCGCCCTACTTATAAAAAAAAAAATCGTTGAAAAGTTCTTATAACTTATAAAGCCATTTTTACTTTTAATTTATTCCTTCCCCAAGAAACCTATACAAACCATATTTTTTCGGAAAGTTCTCGATGTGCTCTGTCTTATCGTGCTAAAACGATCCCAATAGAGCTGATTTCCGAAAAGAATTAAGCTTCCGGAGTCAAAAACCATAGGTTTCTTTGAATGGCTATTACTCCATAACTGGAAGAGCTACAGACGCATAAAGTTTGCGTTTTAAAGGTTTACGTTCAATTCATTCGTCAAAGTCCGTTGTACAGAAAACGTGCCATGTCAATCATATATTGACTCCGACTATTACAGTTTAAATAGAAGTAATTTCAGTTATGGCTAATAAAAATAAAGAAACATTCAGAGGCCAAAAAGTTTATACAATAGTTTAATTGAGTCGTGGGTTATTATTTAGCTTGGCAAGAAAATAGGTGAAATAACCACAGACAGACTTGGTTACCTTATTATTTAGAGATGCTTTAAAGCTTTTTATTATTAACAAGAAAATTTTGAACGGCTTATTAAATTAACGGCAAGAGGGTCAAATAAAATAATTATTAACCATGTTATTTCATTTATTTTATTATTATATTGTTTAATGCCAATAAAGATATAAAGAATATTGTTTAATAGTCTAATGCTAATGCCAATTAATATATAAAAAAAGATTTATTTGATTATGTTAAATATTAAGATTGTTGAAGCTGTTGATATAGTAAATAACTCTTAACGAACAATTCTATTTTATAATTTAATCATCGTCCCATTCATCATCGTCATCTTCCTCTTCGTCTATATTAATTTAAGAGTTTTATTGTTAGTTTCAAAATAACAACTTTTTATTTAGCACTTCAAAAAAAAAACAAATATTATATATATTAATTACTAACCAGAATCATTCCTTAAAGCAGTTGAACGATTTTTAATGGCACTTGCTAATGCTCTTGCAAGGTCATTACCACCACTCGTTGGACTAGTAGGTTCTTCCACAAATGATGACTGTCGAGTAGGTTCACCAACCTAAAATATTATTAATGTTGTTATATAATTTAAATAAATGTTAATTAATAAATAAATAAAAGATAAAATAATAATAATAAAAAATCATCCCAAATAAAAATAATATTAATGTTAGCATAACATACTTTTTTTAGTTTTGCGCCTGAAACACCTCCAGTATTACGAATAGCTTCCAATAATCCTGACCTAGAAGTATTTGATGCTGGTAATCCCTCAGAATTACTACTGGTATTATTAGAGGATGGTGGTGGCGGTGGCGGTGGCGGCACTCCAGCAGGAACTCCACGCGAACTAGGTGGTGGTGGCGGTGGAGGAGGTGGAGGAGGGGGTGGTGGTGGTGGTGGAGCTCCAGTGGGAATTCCGAGCGAACGAGGTGGTGATGGAGCAGGTC